ACCTGCCTCCTGTTGGCCCCGGGGCGTTTACCCGTAACATCCTGCGGCAAGAGGAATGCCCCGGCGTTACGTTGCGAGTGTGTAACGCACAGCAACCGGTCCGGCACGCGGGACACATCTGGAGCGGTCAGCAGCAAGTCGGGGGCCAAATTAATTGGCGCTGACCGACCCGGCCCACTGCAGGGGCTGCTGCTGTTGCCGACTGACTGACCGTGTTGAAACGCAAGCCCAATCTGCTGCAGTAGTATCGGGCAGGTGGAAAAGCTGCCCGATTATACGCCGTTATGAATCGATCGATCTCCGCCGACATGTTTGTGGGTGTTTGTTTCATTTACCTAACCGAACTCAAAGGGTTCTAATCACGCGACCTGCTCACAATGCCCGCTCGCCTCGCTCTGGCGACCGACCCGGTCGACCAGCCGACGACCTTCGCTACCGTCGTAACGCGGTGGCCTGTCTTTCGCAAAAAGATGTATAGTTTTCAGCTCGGTTTTCAGGCACAGTAATTTTCTACGCCGTAACAGCGGCCCAGTAAGCGAGGGGATGGCCACATGGAGCAGCGGCCGCGACAAGCGACAACGTTCTATCATCTACATTCTTTGTTATATGGGTGCTTCTGAAAAAGGCGGCAAATAATATGTGTCCCTGGCTTTTTGTTCTTGAGTTGCAGGATCAAGAACATCGCGTTTGGAGTAAAAATGAACCCACAAGACTGCAAGTAGTTAAAGCCACGCTACTACTTATAGTCTCGGGAACGTTGTCCCCCTGACGAAATGAAGTGATATCTAGCAGGGGGCGGTACAAGTTTTCCTTTCCTATTCGATCGCGCCCATGAGCCCCGTCCGTCCCTAATACAGCCCCGTGCCGAGGCGAGCCCCGACGACGGTGAGTTACGATGCCGCGCGGTCCGCCGGCGACCGTCGCGCGTCCAGCAGCCGCCGCCCGCGCACGGCGGGAGCGTCCCGGTGAATGTGCTCGCGGGGGAGTCAAGGGCGCGGTGAAAGCGAATCCTCCCGGCCCTCGGCCGTAAATCAGTTCTCGCGTCGCATCCCTTCCCGGGGGGCACGCTCCCCTTATTGACGTCTGAGGGGCACCCGGCTGCCGCGGGCTGCGAGAAAGGCGCACCTCCCGTGTGGTACACTCGGGCACCTCTGCTCGCATAGCGCTCATCCAGTGTGGCACACTCTCTGGCACTTGCTCGAGGCACTCTAGTGTGGAACACTCGGGCACCTGCTCGTGGCTCCACTCAAGTGTGGTACACTCTTGCACCTGCTCGCGAGCCCCTCCTCCTTCAGCGTGGTACTGTTGGGCACCTGCTCGTGGCGCAGCGCGACCGGGGCGCCTGCTGCGCGCTCGACCGCCGCCCCCTGGGGCCTGCACGACTCTCTTGTCGCGCTCCTCCCCTCCGGGTCGCCGCTGGAGCCCCCAGCAGGCCCTCAGGTCGTCGACTCGCTCGCGCAGAGGTCGTCTCCTTAATGTATCTGCGGCGGCGCGACGCCCCCGTCGGTCTTTACGACGGTATCACTCTCTCCGGCGCCGTCGTCGTGTCTGACACTTCGGCGGCAAGGGCGGCCCACCAGCGCCACAGAGGGGCGCGTCGTTCTCCCGAGGTGGCGCTCCGCCCTATATCCTTAGGGCTGCGGGGCGTGGTGGGGCGTGGCGGGGCGTGGGCGGGTGTGAAAGGGAGAGTCCCACGGCGGTGCAATTAAACGGCGCGACTGAACTGCGTCGGCGGCAGCGGCATCAGTGCGGCCGCCCGCCGCCTGCGCTTCCTCCTTGTACGCACCTTCCTTACCTTCCTTGCCTTCCTTTTCCCCCCGGGCTCCGGCTCTTCCCATGACCGCGTTGTGTCTCATCCAGGTCATTACTATACGCACAACAAAGACGTCCTTAAGGGCCTGCTCCTCTGCGTTGTCGCACCCGCGTAATGATAACGACGAGCAGCGGGTTGGCGCAGCTGTGGCCTGACGCCTGACGTGGTCAAGGGACGCGATGCGGCGACCGGTGACCGTAAAAAATGTACTCGTATATTTCCAACCATTTGTTGCAATTTTTACCAAATATCTTGTAAATTTGCGAAAGCATGTTCTTGCTTGCCACCCGAATCCAAGACGATACGAAACGCTTGTAATTTTCCAATTTCAAATTGTAATTTTTTTGATATACATCATCATGGATTGTTTCTTTTGCGTAAACCTACGACTATTTTTCACAGAATGCTTGGCGATGTTATTCGATGGGGTTTTGTTTCCACGGCACATGGTGCATAATGCAGGCAGCTATCGTGCCCGCGCCCACATGAGAACTCATATCCCCATGAAGGTTCCTCGTTCCTGTGTCCTCTACGAGACGCACAATACGACGTCCCCGGGGGGGGGGCGCGGCTCGGCTCGGCGGGGCACGCCTCTGGCCGATGGAGCAGTCGCTGTGGCGAGGCACATAGGCACAAGGTACAACAAGGATTTACTCCAAATAGACGCGGGGTACGGACAAGCTTTGCTATAAATTGTTCCGGCTCGCCTCTATGAGCTCGTTGTGTTTATGCTGTCCTCCCCTTCCCGCTCTTTCCCCTCTCGCTGGCTCTCCCACACGTGAGGGAAGGACAAGGCCCCCGGTCCTTGCTGCTGCTGCTGCTGCTTTGCGTTGCTTTCAGACGCTTTGCGCGGGAACGCTCCTTCATTATGCCCGTTACGTCACCCACGGCTACGCTAACTCCCCCCCCCCCGCCCCCTTTCCACTCCGCAGCCCGCGTCGGCGGGGTCCTGCCTGCCTGACCAGCCCGCCCGCCCCTCGTGGAACTGTAACACATCGCCAACCTGTCGGCCCCGCCCGCCCCGCCACGCCCGCCCCGCTCCCGCCCCGCCCCGCCCCGTCTCAAAAGGGCTGCCTTGCCACGGCGGCGGCGACGGCGCAACGCGTTGGAAACAACGTGAATGAAAGGAAAATTCGTGGCGGGCGTATTAGCCGGCTGGCCCGGTCGAGTGCGCCCCCCCCCCCTCCTCTCTCGTCTCTCTCGCGGTCCAAATCCGCCGGCGCGCTATGCGCTTGCTTCTCTGCCTCACTCACGCATTTCTTCACGTTGTTGGCTCTCGATAGAGCCAATCATTATGTGCGATGAGAAGGCAAGACCTCGCACAACACGTACCGTACCGATTGGTTTACTTGGGGCGTAACTCTTTACATGCTGCATGCTTTTATTACATTTTTCTGCACGGCCAGATGGTTTATAGCAACTTCGTTTCGTTCACAAACCACTCTTTCATTTAAAAACGTAAGTGGCAGTATTTATAAAAACAAAGTTGTACTTCTTTTCCATCTTAATCTTTGTCTGTCGCAGTGGCAGAGCTTTATTCCCGTGCCTTAAACATTTTACACTGGGGCTGGCGCGCCTCTCCGCCCCTCCGCCTTGTCGCCTTTGAGCATTTTTCAGCCGTCCACGCCTCGCTTTTACTCCCTCGCCAGAGGTCACGAGCGTCGCGAGCGCGCTGATGAACGCCGTGCTGCAGATTGCAAACGGCTGCTGCAGCGGGGCGCGGCCGGCCCACCACGCGGGCCACCCCCGTGACGTCCAGAGAGGCTATGGACGAACTTTACGAGGTATTGTTCCAGTTGTTCGTTTACTAGTATTCTGATTATTATTATTGTTATTATTACGACGGGACGGGCGGTTGCCTGCTCACGACCTTGGCTGCCGCACCCTGCTGTGCGCCCCGCGGAGGGTGCGGGGCGGAGCGTCGCCCAGCATTCCCCGGATTCCGAGGTCAGTGGAACTTTGGTCCATTGTTAAAAATATCCTCGTAAATGTACGACAAAATATTTAGTAATAATTAGTACCTTTCCTAAAAATGTTGTAAATTTATGACAACCTAATCGTGCTCGTCAATGTATTCCAAGTCAAAATAACATACTGCTTGTAATTTTACGATTTTCAATTGCAATTTTACGATAGGCTTTGTGGAAAATTTTCCCATGAAATCTACAATTATTCTTCACGGTGATCCGAACCTGCTGTGCGAGCAGGACACGGCGATACGTATCTCGTTGGAAAAAGTAATCCTCGCGGACTCGTTGACTCACCTGGACTCTCATGCTGGTCGCGAAGGGGGCGCGCACTCCAGTAAAGATCCCAAAAAGGCGAGCGGCGTGCAGCAGCACGGGGGTCACTGAAGCACTTGTGGGGGAGGGAGGACTGGGTATCGTCCACACAACAACGGGTTCACACACACTCACTGCGACACTCTCCTTCGCGCGCGGGGAGCCGAGCGGTCTGCCGCTGTGCCGGGTCGTTCGGGAATAAACAGAGTCCAGTCCCGGCTCCCCTTTATAACCGCGGAGTGGGGAGCGGCGGGGAGCGGGGCGGCCCGCGCCACCTGATAATGGGGAGGGAGAGGGGGCGCCGCGGACCCCTCCCACTCCTCGGCGGGCGTCCCGACGCGGGCTCTCCGCGCGGGCTCCCTCCACCCCCGCTTCCCCCTTCTCACCACCCCCTCCCTTTTACCCGAAGAGTCTTCCCTTTCGGTCGAGCGGTGTGGAAGGTAAATCAGTTAGAATATGCCCTCTGATAGGGGGAAACAAGATTTGACAAAAAAACAAATTGTCGAGAACAAATCGGGTGCCCACCCACACACTCAAGTCTCGCAGGCGGATTGAGATTTACGGCCCCGTTAAATGGAAGCGTGTGCTTATTCAAATCAATAGAGTCCGCCCGCGCTCCGCCGTGCGCGACGACGGGACGACGCGGGTCACGATTTCCGGCATTCGATATAATATTTATTATTTATAATATTTTTCGCGCGGGAGCTTTAGCCACAGTTTATTGTCGTCAGGCTGCGTCCGGCTGCGTGTCGTCCTGCTTGTTCGAATACGCGCCCGAGTCTCGAAATGGAGCGTAAATTTGTCGTTTTCCTTTTGACAAGTCATCGGGAGCGCGTAGTGTATGGCCGTTCCGTTGGCGCTCGTCTCCCGCGTGCGTTGAAGTCTCCCGATGAAAGCAGATCTATGGGCCGTTTGTTTTCTCCCCGCGCCGCCGCTGTGGGGGCGGCTGGCACGTGTGACGGTCACGTCGGCGGCTACCGGAACTTCATACACGCAGCGCGGGGTGCGGGGTGAGTGCGACTCATCGGGCGAGGAAAGTCCCCCGCGGTGCGGCGGTAGTAATGTTCCACCGCGGCGTGTCTTTTTCTTATATGAACCTTTCATGCTCCATTTGATAATAATGGACCTTCTTGAGACGCAACAATGTGAGCCGAGGAGTCGGGGAGGGAGGAGACGGACGAGACAGCTGCAATAACTTGAAAGCCAGGGCACTCGGTGATATGTGGCAGGAAAATTCCCTCGCCCTTTTTTCGCTCTCTCTGTCTGTCTCTGTCTGTCTGTCTCTCTCTCCCTCTCCCTCTCCCTTCCCTCCCCTCCCGCTCTCTGTGTGTTTCTCTCTCCCCTTTGGCGGCAGCTCGTCACTTTCTTGGTCGAGAGACGCGAGTGACACTCAGTGACGGTGCGGGGCACAACATGGCAGGCCTGACTAGACCCGCAAGTACATGCTGCACAGTTGGTCACGTAGGTGAATGGTAAATGCCAGCTCAAACAGCCGGGGCGCGTCTGTAGTTGTTCAATACAAGTACTTTTTTCCCGAAAAACATTTGGGTTTCTGTCAGATTGCAAAAGAGCAAATCCTATCGAGGAAGACAAATAATATTTTTTTTCCAGGTCCGTTTCTTTTTCGTTATTGCCTCCTAGGAGTGCAAGGACACTGCTGAATGTCGACACACGCCCTGGCGGGGCCCTGGCGGGCGACGCGGAGGCGGTATAAAGTTGCCGCGAGTGGGGGTGAGGGACTTTGATCGAATGTGAGTACGCAGAATGGCGGCCGCACGCACGCCGCGCCACGCCCCGCCACGCGCCTAGACGTATAGCCTCAGTGACAATAACGGCACCCACGCAACGTTATGGAGCCGACCAATCCCGAGGCCCGACCTAGCCGGGCTCTCCTGGAGCCGCGGGTTCAGCGCCGCAGCGCCAGTGTTGCCAATTCAAACAATCGTGTTCTAACGAGGCCTGGCCGCCTGCTCGCGCTCGAGGGCCGGTGGCGGCGGCGGGCCGGGCGCGTTTGGTGTGCCGCGGCGTTGGCCGACCTGACCTGCTAGAGGGGGGCCAGGCCGAGGCGCCGCGCGGGGCTTTTGTCTCATCAGGCGCACGTGTTTGTCCATAGGATGCAGCCGTGGAGCAGCCATGGGGCAGCCGGAGCAACGACGCCTACAGTGACTCGAAAACTTCAAGATTATTTGTTCTCCCGTATGTGTGTGAATTGCTGTGAATTGATTATTACCGTCTCTGACTGGTGGGGAGAGTATTGCCGTCCTGCCCTGTCGATTACGCATGCATTCCCCAGGAAGTCGGCCGTTGACGCCGCCCGCCTCGTTATGCGTCCCGCTCGACGGATTAATAATTTCGCGGCTGCTTCTTTTATCATTACCGATTCCAGTTTTTGGAATTAAGATGTAAAGCAGCGACGGCAGCAGCAGCAGCAGCAGAGATGGGGAAAGTAAAAACGTTATCTCGGTGTCGGCGGGAGTTAGCAGCAGAGCGCCCCGGCAAACTGGCTCCTTCCGCTCGCCCCGGACTCTGACCGTCTCTGACCGGACAGGAGGACAGCGACGGCCGTAACCCGTCCGCAACTCTGCCGACATTATTTTCCCTCCTGCGGTCCGCTCCTCCTGAAGCTGCTGGTTGCTCTTGCTTTTTAGGTCGTTTGCTAAATCCATCCCGCTAACGCCATCGTTTCCGAATGCCACCCAGCCCAGCCCAGCTCCAACTGCAGTCCACCGGTGTGGCACGAGCAAGCTTCCAGGATGAAGCCTCCAGGATGAAGCCTGGAGGCTGAAAAGTACAGGCTGAAATCCTCCAGGCTGAAGCTTTCATGTCGGAGCCTCAAGGCTCCAATCTGAAGCCTTTCAGGAATGTAGTCTTCAGGCTAAGGCCTTCCAGGATGTAGTTTTTGGGCTGAAGCATCTAGGCTGAAGCCTATGGGTTGGAGAGTTAGTCGCGGCAAACGCGGCGTGCGCCGTTGCGAGCCAAGGCTGGAGCCTCCGGCCTGGAGCCGTCTCACGGTTCCCATGCGCTGTACCGGCCTGGTCCTGCCGGTGCGTCGTACACAGGAGGAGGCCTCTATTAGCGGTCGGTCGTCCTAATCCCTCCGCTGCAAGTCACGCTAAAGAAGAGCCTCCTCCACAGCAGCTTACAGTCGTCCACCACGGAGCTACACACTCGCCCGGCCGGCCACTCGTCGCCCTCCTCCATTGAGACCTTCGGTCGAATAACAAAAAAAAGAAAACACGAATCTCGCCGCTTGCTCCGTCATGTAGTGATGAGGCGTACATCATGCAACAAACACATAAACGTGCCCGCGCAAATGTGTGTGTATGTGTGTGTGCACGCGCACATCAAGGCTGACGGATCCGAATCGCAATCCGAATGAGACGTCTGTCTGTGGTTCGTCCGTGCCATCCCGTTGGTGCGTCCGCTTGGCCGCGGCTGGGCGCCCAGGCCGCTTCCCGTTGCGTCACAACGGCAGTGATTCGACGGTTCGAAAGGCTTCTGTTCCGGACACTGGAACCGCCTGGGACATCTTTTGTGTTCCTACAGTTTTTACCTTCAAATTTTCCGGGAAGAACTTAAGCTGCTTCGTGGTCGGCCGCATGTTTGTGGGGTCCAGCGACTTGTCAAAGTGGTCACACCTCACGCCCCACGCGGATGACGCCGCCTTCGCGACCCAGCACGCCCGGGCACCGCCTTCGTGCAGCCCGCGAGGCCCCCTCTGGTCGTCGTGATCCTGGAGAGGAGGAGGGCGGCCTTGCGCGTGGCCTTGGGCGCCGCAGTGGAATTGGGTGCGGCGGCGGGGCGCGTCTCGCGGGTAGTCGGCGGGTAGCCGGCCGGACCTGCACGCCGCCGTGTGGCGGGGCGCGGCGGGGCGTGTCCGGGCGGCGGGGCGTGGTGCTGGGCTGGGACCCGCAGCCGCTCACTTGGACGCCCGCTGCGCCGGGCCGCTATGCCCTGCCAGTCTAATCGAAGTTGTTATATCTCGGTCCAAAATGACGAGTCCTTGATCCGCCCCCGACCGCAGGCCGGCTAACTGTATTCCGTAAGGTCACAAAGTTTGTGCCTTTCTCGCTTCAGAGGATAGAACAATATTCGGAACTTCATTTCTTTTTGCCATTGCCTTCCCCTTCCTGCAGACACTTGCACCCCTTATGGAGTGTGCCGTGTCTCCGTCTCAGCCGCGGGTAAAGGCCTCCAGGGTGGTCCCCATGGATGCAGGACGCTGTCCAGGACGCCAGTGTAGGATACGGTCCGGGGCGGCGGCGGTCCATGGGAGCGCGGCGTCCGCCCGCTTGCCCTGGACAGCCGGACTTGTGGCGTTAGCCACGCTTTCCTCCACGCATACGGTGCCGTTGCATCACGAATGGGTGGCCAATTAGCTGAACCAGAGCTCCGTCACGTTCTGTCCCGCCCTCGTCACGGAGTCACGCTCCTGTCACTTTATTGTCACGTTTTATTGACGTTTACTCCACGTATATCTCCATCTCTGTGGCGCCATGACTATGAAAAATACCCCCCCCCCTTCCCTCTTTTTTCACTCGCTCTTCTCTTAGACAAAGTTATTTTACGAAAGACATTTTTACCAATTGTATTTTTGTTGTGTTTATAGACAAAAGTCCTGAACAATGAAATGCACCAACACAACAGTGTACTGTAGATTACAGAAGAATTAATCTATCGACATCGTGACACACTGACACACACACGCACACACACTCTCTCACGCGGCGTGACGCGTGGCGCGTCTGTCGCCTTCGACTAAGAGTGACGCGTTTCAAAAGTCCCGCGTATTGGTATGCCTGCCGACACGCGCGCGCGGCGACGGTCAACGAGAGGGAAAGAGACAGAAAGGGGGGCGGAGCGGGGAGCGGCGGGGCTGACGTAACAGTGTAGCGCCCCACCCAGCCCAGGCCGGCCCCTAGGAAGGATTTGGTCGGATTACACCTGCAATTGTGTGTCTCTTACGCTCGCTCGTTCAGTCACATTAGGCGGTAATGAACGGAACATGGAGCAGAGAACTTCATAGGTCACATGATGACAACAGCGATTTTCTTTACAAAACACACTCGACAATGGTGTTGCGGTATGGTCGCCCCCTGCTGCTGCTGCTGCCGCCTCGGCTGCGCGCTCACGTGCCATACATAATAATCTTGTCACGCCAATATGGCATTAGCACGCGGCAGTGGCGTCGCGTTTT